ATCTCCCCTTCCTTTACGTGGGACCCACATGGCAGGGAGGGTTAACGAGAGAACCACGTAGGAAGTTGAGTTTGGGTAGTGGTATGTTTGGTACGTGTCGAATATTCCGAAAGAAGGCCCTCTGCGAAAACAAAACACGCAGCAGTTTCCTTCAGCGCTCGCCAACGCCGCAACACACAAGACGCCAAAATCCAAAACAGAAAACAACAATTAAAAACAAAAAACAAAAGCAACCCCTTCGCCTCGGTCCTCTTCTCGCTATCTGGCGTCGTTGGAGGGCATTAGGACTCCACGGGGAGGAAGAAGAAGATATCGCCCTCTCTCTCTCTCTCTCTCCAAGGTTCCGTTCGCCTCTGGGTCTCGATTGATCAATTCGGCCCAGCCGATCGCGTGTGTGATAAGAGATCGGTGGGATTTGTGATGACGAGGAAAAGGAAGACAGAGGAGGTGGCGCCGATGGACGAAGCGGACCGGACCATTTACTCTACCTTCTGCGGCGCCGCCAACTCCCTTTCCCAGCTCTACACCCAGGCCATGCACCAACAGACGCTCTCCTTCGACGCCGGCGAGCGCCACGCCCTGGTTCATCCTCCCCTCCCTCCTTTTCTTTCCTCCCGCATCCTTATGATTTGGTTCTTGCCCCGATCGTACCTCGATGATTCCTGGTTCTCTGTTCTCCGGATCGGCGATGATCGATCCTGCGGGGATTTCGCTTGGATCTTTGTTTCCCTCGGTCTGCTGTTGTTGTTATTGTTGTGGCGTCAAAAGATATGTTTTTGGTTCCTTTGATCGTGCTTGAGACTTGGCTGATTGGATTCTGTTCATAGGATGCGTCTTATCTTCTTTCTTTGTTTTTCCTACAATATTTTTTTCAATGCTGCTTTCTATGTGAATCATGGTTTGATTCTATTGTTCGGGAGCGATCAAATGCTACCACAAGTTGCATGTGATGCATCGCTATTTTGCGTGTGGATAAGCCGTTTACATGAATTAAGCGGTTTCCACAATCAGTTCAACCTTATTGATGATCGTTTTGCACTGGAGTTTTTACCCTCTTAGTTATATGCTGCAAGCTTCAGAAGTGGAAATTACGTGCGATGATAATTGAACTACCTTTTATTGCTGATCTACTTAACGCTGTTTTGACTTAGATTTAATCTCCATAAGTAAGAATGATCTGTTTGCACCGTTCATTGTAGTTGCACTTTCTCCTAATGACTACCCCTCAGTTCTGCAAACTCCTCCTTAGAAAGGGGAGTTCTTACTTAACCAGTTAAGAAAGCAGCAACATTTCCTATTGTAGATTCATAAGATACATTGTGAATTTTTTAACTTATGGTTCTTCTTTTACGCCCTTTGTTTATCACAATGAACTAATGGAATCCATAGTCTTCTGCTTCTGTTTGGGACATTGTTGATTTCATAGATCACAACTTGGAACTATGAGTGGTTTAGATCAAGGGAAGTTGTTCGAAGTGTTATTCTGTGGGTTTTGGTAGTCAATTTAGTTCAAGGACCTTGATGTTGTGTTATGCTGTTGAACAACTTCTTACTTGTGTCTAAAGTGAGAACTCAAAATGTAATAACACTAGGAGGACAAAGAAACTAATCACTCTGTATACTAGTTTCTAAAGATTTGAATGGAGTCCATCCCTTGCAAATTATACTTGGAATCACTTTAACTGACTGAAGTTTCCCATAAGGTCCTAGGATGTTTGGTTTCCGCCTCTATGTGATTGCTTTAACTTTACCGAAATTGCCATTTCTTGTATGTAACACAGCCTTTTTTTATGTTCTCACTCCCAATGTATAGGTATAACATGTATTAAATAATCAACAATCAGCAGGTGTATTATGTATCTGAATTTTCTTCTCAAATATTACTTTTTCTAGTGGGTCTCAAATTGCTCTATCATATGCAAAGCTAATCATATTATTCATTAACACAGGAGAAGCTCTATCAGTGGATCTTGAGACAACATGAAGTTGAATCGAGGTTGACTGTAGCTGATGTTGTCACCCATATCCAGGTTTCTATAATGATTTCTATTTAGTTGACTTTGTTGTATCTTCTCCATCTATATTATCTTCTCATTTGTTCTACTGCAACAACTAGAAGAGTCAAGAAGTCATGAGTCCCAATATATATATATATATATATATATATATATATATATGTATATATATATATATATGTATATATATGTATATATATGTATATATGTATATATATGTATATATATGTATATATATGTATATATATGTATATATATGTATATATATGTATATATATGTATATATATGTATATGTATATGTATATATATGTATATGTATATATATATGTATATGTATATATATGTATATATATGTATATATGTATATATATGTATATATATGTATATATATGTATATATATGTATATGTATATGTATATATGTGTATACATATATATACATATATATACATATACATATACATATATATATATATACATATACATATATGTATATGTATATGTATATGTATATGTATAT